TCGTACAGGCCGTGGTCCAGCAGCACCAGCTGCGCTTTCCCATCGGGGCCTCGCTGCACCAGCACTGCCAAAAAAACGCAATTTGGGGACCCCCCTGGGTTTGGGGGACCCCCACCCCATTCTGGGGACCCCCCTGGATTTTGGGGGACCCTCCCCTGTCATTTTTTGGGGACCCCCCCATGAATTTTCCCCCATTCTCTTTGGAGACCCCTTTTTTTAGGGATTCTTTTTTTGGGATTCTCCTTTTTTTGGGGACCCCCCCTTTCTTTTTGGGGGACCCCCCCTGGGTTTGGGGGACCCCCACCCCATTCTGGGGACCCCCCTGGATTTTGGGGGACCCTCCCCTGTCATTTTTTGGGGACCCTTTCCATGAGTTTTCCTCCATTCTTTCTGGGGACCCCCCCAATTTTAGGATTTTTTTCCACCCCGTTTTGGGATTTTTCTCCCCCAATTTTGGGATTTTTTTCCCCCCAATTTTGGGATTTTTTTCCACCAGTTTTGGGATTTTTTTTCTCCAATTTTGGGATTTTTCCCCCCCAATTTTGGGATTTTTCCACCCCCAATTTTGGGATTTTTTCCCCCAATTTTAGGATTTTTTTCCACCCCAATTTTGGGATTTTTTCCCCCAATTTTGGGATTTTTCCCCCAATTTTGGGATTTTTCCTCCACAGTTTTGGAATTTCCCTCACCCCAATTTTGGGATTTTTTTTCTCCCCCAATTTTGGGATTTCTCCTCCCCAATTTTGGGATTTTTTTTCTCCCCCAATTTTGGGATTTCTCCTCCCCAATTTTGAGATTTTTTCCACCCCCAATTTTGGGATTTTTCCCCCCCAATTTTGGGATTTTTCCTCCACAGTTTTAGAATTTCCCTCACCCCAATTTTGGGATTTTTTTTCTCCCCCAATTTTGGGATTTTTCCACCCCCAATTTTGGGATTTTTCCCCCCATTTTTGGGATTTTTTTTTCTCCAATTTTGGGATTTTTCCACCCCCAGTTTTGGGATTTCCCCCCCCAATTTTGGGATTTTTTTTCTCCAATTCTGGGATTTTTTTCCCCCCAATTCTGGGATTTTTCCCCCCAGTTTTGGGGTCCCCCCGGTACCGTTCCCGGGGTGCGGATCCGCGTGGATGAACCCGGTGTAGAAAATCTGCTCAGCGAACACCTGGATCAGCTTCTCTGCCGTCTGGGGGGATTGGGGGGTTTAGGAACCCCCAAAAAAATCCAAAACAAACCGAAAAAATCCCCCCTGGATCAGCTTCTCTGCGGTCTGGGGGATTTGGGGATTTAGGA